GCAGCCTGGCATGCTAATCACTAGAACAGTACGGAGTGTGTTCAACGTCATCACGTCTCAAACCCTACCGTGCGCAGCCTGGCATGCTAATCACTAGAACAGTACGGAGTGTGTTCAACGTCATCACGTCTCAAACCCTACCGTGCGCAGCCTGGCATGCTAATCACTAGAACATTACGGAGTGTGTTCAACGTCTCGAATCTCGAACCCTACCGTGCGCAGCCTGGCATGCTAATCACTAGAACACGCCCAGCTCTATTCTTGTGCTTTGTTTGTTACATATGACTTTCAGGTTGTTGTTTTTTCAATGGGCATAATACAGGCCGGTTTTTTTTGTTTGTTTGTTTTTTGGACAAACATGATTTTAATCAGAAATATAGCACTTCATGTGCGGTCTTTTAAAAACACAATGATTCTTGAATTTTTATTGGAAGAGATGGAATTTTCGGCTAAGCCTTCTGCTATTAACATCGGCAAATGTAGTAAATTATATATATGTATGTATAAAATTTGTGGTTTGAACAGCCTAATTTTTATTTATCTGGTGATTTAACTTTATACAAATGTATTCATTGTGGTTCTTTATGTAACGAACCAAGTATATGTTGTAGCATCCAACTTTGTGGAAATAACGTTTGCTACTTTATTCATAAGAGTGAGTTTTAAAAGTATTTGTAAGTATTATCATTTTATCCTTAAGTTCACAATTATCGAAAAATATTCCGCTCGATGGGTGAATGGCTTGGGAAGTTTGAAGATAGTTTTACTGTACTTTTACAAATCCTAAACCAACTCAGAATCAACCCGAAGCGTAAAATTATATTCTGTAATCGCTCGTAAAATGTAATAGGTCAAAAATACTTTGCATTCACACTTTCATTTCTCAAAGTAAGACCACGATCTTTAATTACCCATTTTTACAACTGATTGATAAGCAACAATCGTATGGTTAAGCGCTCTTTCCAAGAGAAACGATTTGTGTTGCTTAGCAACTGGAACCTGCTCAAAACTGAAAGGGTCGGTAAAGAAAAAAAAAAGATTATCTGAATTATTGGAGTTTTCTAAGAGCGTGTGTGGGAAAAATGGAAAAACTCCACGCAGTGATAATTCTTCCAACTTTTAAACACCACGTGATGTGACAGTCAAAAATGTGTATTTCAGGCACATATAGGGTTTGAAGTTTACGTGTATGTCAGTCAGGAACTTCATAGTCTATTAAATATCCAAGAATATTAAATAAACGACTTGAAAGGATGAAAACGGAGATTTTTTTACCCATTTTGGGTCACCATTTATTTTTAAGTCGAACTTTGCGAATTATTTTATAATATTCATCGCATATAGCGTACAAGAGTATTTGTGAAAGAATCTAAAGCTTATTCTTAAAGTTAGTTCAGAATCCGAGATTGCAGTATAAATAGTTATGCATAACTAACCTTTAAGGGTCTGCGAAGAAAAGTGAACAACGCAATGCAGCATCTGTAAGTATCATTATATCCTTGAACCAACATCGTTATTTTATCAGACGCTGATTTTCAGAGGATGATTATGCACGTTTTTTATGATGTAAAAATATATTGTATTAGTGTTTATGTAAGTTTTAAATCGTTATTGTGCTGAAAGTTTGGCTGATATTATTTATTGTAGTGTCTTGATCTAATGGGGAGCTTCTCAAAAGTATCGAAACTTCAGCTGCGTAAACAATCCCATACGCAGAGTTTCTGGAATAAATCGCCGGAGGGCGTCGGGTTGTCAATAGACCTTTGTTAAGAAATATCAGAGTTTATAATCCATTTATAGTTCAGTAGCTATGATTCAGAGTTCTGTAGTTTATTATAGAGTGTTTAGTATTATGAGTGTATGCCCTGGAGATAGGCTTAGTTCCGTCTGTTTGCAGTTCATCATTTGAGTAGGACGACAAAGTTTACAACACTAAATGTTAAGCCTGCCTACACAGTTTGAGTATTCCCACGTGTTAAATTTCGTTTCCATTGAAGGTTTAGCTGCGTACATGAGTTCTAAACATTAGATTTCTAACTTATATAGAAGAAGAAATTTTGCTGTTACTCCCTATTCAAGGTGTATATTTGTTTTTTAATGTTAAAAGCTTACTCCTTCAGCTGTTCTTCTTTTAGACTGCTTTAGTGTCTCGTTGTATACTGAGCGTTACCGCGTGACCATGTATATTAGAACCAAACCAGAAAACTCGCTAGTAAGAATGATATTCGTAGTTCAAGTCGGAATGTGTATGTAACAGTGTGGTTTACAAAAACCAGCTAACGGATAGTTCTGGGTCTTCAAGCATGGGGAGGAAGGAAGAAATTCAAAAAAAAATTGCATGCAAATATCATGTATAATATCAACTAATGCTCTGGGTCATTAAGTATTATATCAGTAGGGATCAGTTTTTCCCGTCCGTCCGTCTTTCCTCCAGATACTCACTCGTAGCAACGACATTCGAATACCAGTGGAGATCATCACATCATATTATCAGTATCCCATGATTTAAAGGTTTACGGAAAGCAGCTTGTGGGTGGGAGGCGGGAGAATGAGTGGGGATGTATGATTCAAGTTCACTAATGGGGTTCTATTGCATAGGAATGTTACTCCTCGTAAGGCTCTTAAGTCTGTGAGTCATCCAACTAAACAGTTTTGAAACACCTGAGCTAAGAGACAGATAGCAGAGATATTGACGGAGGAGTTCGCTTCAACACGTATGTACAGATACATACGATAGAAGTAAAGGAGTGCAATGATTGGTTGGGTGTTTTGAGGCGTCAGGCTATAGTGAGATGTTCTACGCTGTTAAACACATTTCTTTACATACACAAGCACACACACACACACAGTGCAATGATTGGTTGGGTGTTTTGAGGCGTTGGGCTATAGTGAGATGTTCTACGCTGTTAAACACATTTCTTTACATACAATAGAAGTAAAGGAGTGCAATGATTGGTTGGGTGTTTTGAGGCGTTAGTCTATAGTGAGATGTTCTACGCTGTTAAACACATTTCTTTACATACAATAGAAGTAAAGGAGTGCAATGATTGGTTGGGTGTTTTGAGGCGTTAGGCTATAGTGAGATGTTCTACGCTGTTAAACACATTTCTTTACATACACAAGCACACACACACACATATATAGTGTACCGATGAAAGTTTGCAGGTACAGACTGTTTTAAGATATTGTAAGTCGGATAATCCCACTAATATTCCATTTATCTATATGTAATCTGATCATAGCATCTAATTTAGTGAAGAGATTATTTAAAAATAAACTAAGCATCTTTGCAGTATGACTGGGAATGTGGTTATGCAAGTAATATATTTAGTGTCGGTGATTAAAATGTATTCATTATTGCTGTAATAAATCAAGATTCATTTCATTTTAAATGTTACAAGTTCCTCTATTCTTACATTAGAATAGACGCGATATCTAAAACTGTCTACGTTCTTTTGTTTGCCCAATAATGCTCATTCATATATTTAAG